CATCTTCGATGATACACCGAAAGTTTATATGAAATACTGTAATTCTGTAGATTTCAAAAAATTTATGCAGAATCATGGGTACATGGGTCAACTTCATTATGCCACAGAAAAAAAAAATTTACCATCTTATTATTTCAATTCTTATGACTTGGAATATTCCGTGGGCGAGGCTGTTATATTATCAGCAAGCACACCAAAACATTTGACTGCAATAGGCTTGGCTAAAGACTTTGAATTTTCTAATCACACTTTATTTAACCGCTTATTCCGTATGGTAAGATTTGACTTTGTTTTATTCTTAATGGATAATGTTAAAACCTTCATATTTAATTAATTGTAGGGTATCCATACATTATTTAACATACCAATCTACTACGTTCATACAAGAGTTATGCATGATTTGTTGGATGGCACAATTGAAGATAAAGAAGTTAATAAACATTATTGGAAATTAATGGAGGAATACGTTGGTGTTGAACCACCAATAGACCGTGATGAAGAAGATATTGATTTTACATATAAATTTTTCTTAGACATTGAAAAAAATATGCAAACCAAGTAAGTATACTTCCTAGTTTAGGGAAAATTCGTGCACACTTTAACAAGAAAATAAATGGAAGAAGGCTCTAATAGGTTTGTTAGGATTTTTGTATTCTTATCAGGATTTTATTCTTATTGATATAAATTTATATACGTCAAAGCCAAAGCCAACATCTTTATTTGTGTTGTGTAAAATTTTTCTTTTAACTATAAGTTTTATTCACTATTTCAGTTAAAGGCTAAAGTTATGCAATGAAAGGTCAGTGATACAGATTGTAATATAAACATTTTTAGTTAAATTGTCATTTCTAAGAATTCTCCATCGTCTCTAACATCTCTCTATGTTCCTTATTCAGTTAGTTTTTGCTAGAGTATTTTTCTTAATGTTTTGAATGATGGCTCCCAAAATAATTAAAAATAATTAAAATAATTAAATCTGATTTCAGAATCAAACAAAAAAAGGATGAAGTGAATAAACTTATTTATTTCAGTAGCGTTTATTTTTTTATTTGTTGTCCGCATTAAAAATTATTATTCCATTACTTTTTTAATCCTATGTACCGAAATATGTAAATAAATGGGATTGCTTAAAATAGATTTTAATATATTTTACTACCTTTATTCGTATTTAAACTAGAAAATTCGTTGGTGAAGTTCTCGGCTATCAATTTTATAGAGCATTCTGTAAGAAGACTGGACAAGTAACAGAACTCAACAACTGTGATTTCTACGGAAGTCATGAAGTTGGAAACGATTTAAAGTAAGAACCAATAATTAGTATTTGTGTCAGTGTTGTGAAAAGAATATGGAACTTTTTCTTTATAGGGCTATGATGGCATTGGGATCATCGAAACCGTGGAAAGAGGTTCTTGGGAAAGTTCTGCCTGATCCAAAATTAAGTGGAGATGCACTTATTGAATACTATACTCCAATATTCGATTGGGTTGAGAGTCAAAATAAAGAAAGTAAAGCTAAAATTGGTTGGAATGCTACCAAGAGAAGTGAGTTTAATTCATATTTTTTGATTATGTCAAGTTAAATTATTTTAAATATAAAATTTGCACATTTTTTCTTTTCATATTTCAGAAATACTTTGAGTTCCCGTGCGACGCAGTTGTAGGCTTGATTAAATATTGGATAATGAAAAACTAGAAACAATTTTTAAGATTATAATATTGATTTTAAAGACTAATTAATAAAAATAAAATAAAAAGTTTTGTATTTGTAATTACTTCTTATTAATTATTTGTTAATTATATTTACTTTTGCCATTGTGTTTAATTATTTCTTTAATATTAGGAAATCTATTCTTATTTGCATATTTTTATAAGGCCTTTTCTTCTTTTCAAGGTGTTCAAGGAAGATGTGGTTAAGGGTTCTGATTTATCATTGGACAACACTCTTGCTTGTGAAAATCACTTTGATATGAAGCAAAGTTGATCTGTTTAAGTGGTGGTACAACCATCGCTCCATTTTGCCAGGAACCTGTCGGAACCGTTAATAGTCCATCATCATGAGTTTTTATTCTTTAATTAAATGGTGTTAATGTGCAACAGCTTTTGTTTCCATAATATGACTTATTCCGCATAGCAAGTGACATAATAAGTTTATTTTATAATTTATTCGATGAGTATACATTTCATATGTCGACCTGACAAATTTGTTTCCACGATCAAGTGATCGCATCTTTTGATCTATTTTTCTTGAGATTTATGAAGTTGCAAGTCTACTTACACACAAAGGCTCATTAAACTTTTTGAAAGCTAAGATTCGCAGAGTTATAAATTATGTATGCACTCAGCTGATCGAAGATCACCCTTCCAGATTACGTTTCATTCGTACAAGACGCAGCAGAGAAGCTCATAATCTTATCCAAACGTTAATACCACACAACTATTTTTTCCAAAACGTAATTTTATAGATATTGCTATGATTCAAGTACACATTTTTTATTCTTTAAATTTTTAAATAAACATTCTTTATTATTATGTGAGTGTTGGCGTGAACTGAATTCAAAACCAAATTAATTTTGGTTGCCGATGATATATAGTTGATCAAGTTAAATTTATGTTATTATTGCTGTAAGATCGATTTGCGAGTATTCAATGCGAAAATCTATAGTTAACTGTAACAAGATTATATAGATTGTAGACATAATTTGTATATTTGGAGAATTACCTATATTGTGCTAATTAGTAATATATCAAAAATAGCTCAGGTATATTGTGATGATTGGACAAAATTCTATTTTGTTGACCAGCCTTACTTTTGTTATCCTTACTGGCAATGTACCTCATGCGTCAAAAACCAATAGCATTGAGAAATCAAATTTCCTTGTAGGGAAATTTATATATATAAATGCATATATACTGTATAAATAAAATTTACAACCTCTTTTTCCAAATAACTGTTTTTAAAAAAAGTGTTGATGATTCCTCACTTAATATCGCCGCTTTAATTTCAACTTCTTTTTCTATAACCTTGTGTTCTTATCAATATATATATTTCTTATATTATACTCTTCTATATATTGCAATATTGTTCTTGATATAAAAAAGTTATTAATTTCAGAGTGGAACTTTATTATGTGTAAATATTTAAAAAGCGATTCATTTTTATGAGGTTATAAAAATTGTACTACTCGCTTTTTAAAGTAGAAGAATAAGTAATTTTTTATGAAGACGATCATATGACGACAGTGTTACGTTTTTCTGGTAACCACTATCAAGGCATGCTTTACAGAGAATCAAATCACAATTATCAATTTTAAGCTCACAGTTTAATCGAAATTTCTCTCTTGCTCTTATTTTGAACATCTTCCAAAAGACAAAAGTAATTTCCAAAGACCACTGATGATGAACACTTAGTAACATTCGAAATAACTATATAGTTTAAATTTCTTAAACAATTAATTAAAAAAATGTGCTGGATTAAAAAAAATGTTTTTTTAGTTGAAAACCTTTATTATATTGCAAAATTGATAAAGAAGTTACTTGGACAAAAATGATATGTATCTTTTCCGCAAATGGATAAAGAACTTTTTTTTTCTATTCTACCGCATTTAATCATACTTTGATTTTAGCGACCTTTAAATTTATTTATTAGAATTATTGGTATATTTACTAGGAAAATCTCCTGGATATGTCTTTTATTTCTTTTCTTTTTTTAATATTGATTGATTCAGTCCAGTGACTATAAATAGAACTACTCTCTACATTTCTGTGTTTTGTGGTTATTATCTCCACGAATGAAATGCTTGTAGTATAACCTACTTAAGAGTTACTTAAGACGTAAGAGAATTTTGATTATTTGCAAGAATATAATTTACAAATTTTGGAAAGGAAATTTACCAAAATAACCGTTTATCTGATTTAACATTTCAAATTATATTGAAATCTTTAATTTGACGTAACTAATTTGATTTATCCGAGAAAAGAATAAAAATAGTGTTGGCCGCATATTAAAAATGTTACATACTAAGATTACGCATCATCATGTGTCCAAAATTTTTCGATCTGCGCAGAATTTTTTTTTTCCAGAATCCAGAATTTAAAATATATTCAGGATCCAAACAAAAGTTTTTTAAATTTGTGGATGTAAAAAATGTAAACAAATTATTGTGAAGTCACAGACATTCATATATTTTTATAACGGATCTGCGTAGTGCCTAATCTTAGAATTTATCGTTCTTGGTGGTATATAGAAGATTTCACAATTGCATCTATTACAACTGACACCATGCAATATACTGTTCATTATATCAACCTCATTCAATATCTTTTAAAAAATTCAATTAATTAAAATAATATAAAAAACAATTTTTGTTGTTGAAGTTCACTACTGTTCGAAAACCGTTTTATTTTTTTTATTTAATATATACTTTGAGATTCACTAACTAAATTTTTTAATCTTGTGTTGTACTCTGGTATACCCTCTGTATACTCCAGCTTTGGAAAGGGCCAGAAATGTTACTACAACGATATGACTAACACCACATAGCACGCGAAATAATTAGTTTATTATGTACTCCATTCGATGAGTACACATTTCATATAATGACCTTACGGATTTACACTCACGATCGTGTGATCGCATCCTTTTAAATTGTTTTTTATTGAGATATACATCATTACGGCTAAACTCATTGGAAGCCTCCTAGATTTGTTACTATGAGCTCACCGAAAATCATACCTCTAATTGCGTTTCATTCGTATAAGACGTACCACACAAGCCCAAAATCTTATCCAAACGTTAATACCATATAACTACATTTTCCAAAAAAGAAGTTTTTGGATATTATTATGGTTTAAGTGCATATTTTTTAAATCTTCAAATTTTTAAATGAAGAATTGTTATTTTCATTGCTGTGTTGATCTCTTGACGCCGTTCAAGTTGTTCCATCATATTGCCCATGAAGTATATTTGCAAGAATTTATGTTGTGCATCTTCAACAGGTTGCAATGATTCAATATGATGGTAAATCTGGCACTCGCACAAAACAAACATATCAATACTTTCAGCTCATATTTATTTATTATATTTGAATTTATTATATTTGAAATTTGAAATATTTGAAAAAAAAATTTAAAAAGAAATCAATATCACTCAAACTGTCGAACTGCCAACAGTTTGAAACAGCATTCACAAATTTATTATTTTTGCTAAAATTAGTGGATTTTTCCAATATTTTATAATGTATTCTGCTATTCGAAGCGGAGACGATTCCAACAAATCAAATTAAAACTAATTAATTTTAAAATTAATTAAAATCGGTCCAGCCGATCTTGAGTTATAAATCGTCTAACTAACACGACTTTCTTTTATGTACAAGGTGAGATGAAAAAACTGCAACCAAGACTGCTGTCATTTCTAAACCGCTCGTCCCACAGCTGTCAGATTTATTCTAGTGACAGCTCATTATATTGTTTACAAGCGCACAAAAGCATTTTGGTGGGAATTTTTCAGAAAAAAAGTTATTTGTGATGGAATTCAAGCGTGATAGTGTGATTGCTTTGCATTTGGCTGGAAAACCACAAGTGGCTATCGTTAGAGCCCTCCAGCATTTAAAAGTGAATAAATCTTTTGTGTCTCGTATCATCGCTCGTTACCATGGTACTGGTAGCGTAGCCCGACGTCAAGGAAGTGGACGAAAAAAAACAGCAACATCGGCAGAAATGGTTCGAAAAGTGAAGAAGCGAATCGAACGAAATCCGCGTCGCAGTGGACGAAAAATGGCTCGTGAGCTGTACATATCGCAATATGCCATTCGGCAAATATTGAAAAATGAGCTTGGACTAAAGCCATTGAAGTTCCAAAAAGTGCAAGTTCTTACTGATGCGCAAAAAAAAGTTAGACTCGAAAAAGCTAAAGAGTTGCTTCGCTTGGCCGAAAGTGGTGAACTGCCGAATTTGGTTTTCTCCGATGAGAAACCATTCGTTATCCAGCAGTTTGTAAACAAACAAAATGATCGTGTTTACTTGCCAGAGAGGTCAGCTGAAAATTTGCAACTTCGGTTGGCCACCACAACTCAAAAGCCGGCCATGGTGATGGTGTGGGCCGCCATAACAGCCGATGGTCGCTCGCCGCTCGTATTCATCGACCGTGGTGTCAAAATAAATGCGCAAATCTATCGCGAAAATATTTTGGAGGGAGTTCTGAAGCCCTGGGCACGCAAACATTTCGGCCGCAGACCTTGGACATTCCAACAGGACTCAGCACCATCGCACTCAGCACGCGCCATCCAAGAATGGTTAAGAAATGAGGTTCCTCGCTTCATTTCCACCGCACAATGGCCACCAAAATCTCCGGATGCCAATCCGTTGGACTATTGTGCCTGGGGTATTTTGGAAAGCAAGGTTGGAACTAAAAAATACCAAAGTGTCGATCATCTCAAGCAAGCGCTTCGCCGAGAATGGGACAAAATACCGCAGAGCCACTTTCGGGCAGCGTGTGATGGTTTCATTGGCCGTTTGAAGGCCATAGTTCGTGCCAAAGGTGGCCAATTCGAACAAATCTAAACCGATTCTCAAATTTGATGTTATTTCTGACATTTTTTGCTTTCATTCAATAAAATTTAAAAAAAATGAAAAAATTATGGCGTTTTACTTTGTTGCAGTTTTTTCATCTCACCTTGTATATACATAGATTAATATATTATATCTTAATAGATGGAAAATAACTCTTAATTATAATGGAAATGGTGTGATTTACTATTATAGTTGCTGTAGAGATTGTAGTGAAACAAATATTGAATTCCTAATTTGGACATAATACGTAAGCTAAGCAAATAAGTTCCATGATTTCCAAGATATAAGTGTTATCAAGCGGCCAGAAGATGAAAACCTTGATATTAATTTTAAGAAGAATTAACAGCGAAGATGTGTTCTAACAATATTTATAAAATTCCTTTTTCAATTTTATATAAGTCGGGTTTTAAAGTTAAAAATTTTTACATAAAACCAACCAAGAAAAAGTTACATATATATTTTTACATTAACTGTTACTGCTTTTGTGCATTATTAGTGAACCCCGGGCAAAACACAATACGTCGTCGTTCAACGGAGTCCAGTGTAACTATACCATTTGAGCGTACTTTCCGCAATTTAGATGGAAGTCGTCCTGCGGCAGGCTCACCTGAAGAATTGGAATTCAATTTCTGCGGTTGTGGCTGGCCACAGCATATGTTGATTCCCAAAGGTTTACCAGAGGGTATGCCCTGTGAAATATTTGTTATGGTGTCGAATTATGAAGATGATAGAGTAGGAAAATTAAACAATATATATAGAATGGTCATGAAGTAAATATATTTTTCAGGTTGATCAAGAATTGGTTGGCAGCTGTAGCGATGCTGCTTCTTATTGTGGTGTTCGTGATCGTCGTTATCCAGATCGTCGTTCCATGGGTTATCCTTTCGATCGTTTACCACGTACTGGCGCAGATCGATTGGTCAATTTCCTTACTCCCAACATGAGTCTTCTTGACGTGGTTATTCGTCACGACAATCGAACTGTTAGTCGCCCAGCAGCTTAACTATTCGAAACTGTTTTGTTCTTCCAAAATTGATGACATCAGGCCAGGAAATTGTTGTAGCGATTATTTTTCAAATTTCATTAATTAATTTTTTATAACAAACCAAAAATAAGAATAAAATAAATTTATTTAAAGCATAAATTAGTTTTGCACTTTTTGTGTCTTTTTGTTTGTTATTGCAATTTCAACATTCGTACTAAACCAAAGAATCCATTTTCGGTTCGAGAAGGGTGACACGCTAACCTTAGTTAATATATTTGACTGATAAGTAGATTATCACTTCAATTACACAACACTATTTATTATGTTTAAGACGGAAAGTTCACTTGAGCAAATATTTTGATATAAAAGTGAAAGCATTCACCGCTGCAAATTCAGTTGATCTCGGTTTGTTAAGTGAAGTGTTAGTTTCTTGATTAAATATCGGAATAGTCTGCTCCCGGAGATTTCAAAATGCAAAAACTTTGCGTGTTTGCGTTGCTCGTTGCAAGTTGCCTCGGAGTAAGTAGAGCACAGAATTAAAGGAGCTACAGAAATAAGAATTGTAAAAATGCTGAAGAAATTATTTAAATTTTTTCATTGAATGTGGAACGGAGTTCATTTTTATATAAACCAATTAATTAACTACCTGAAACTCTAATGTTATAAAAAGAAACAGGTTAATAGAACTAAAATTAATTATGTGGAGATTGATTGAATTTTCTTAATCTATTTCTTTTAAGTTAAGAGTAATTATAGAAGACATAAAACGAAAAGATTTGATATCAGTACAATTGGAAGAATCATCCTTTTGAATGGTTTAATCTGTTCGAAGCCAAACCACTATAAGATTCATATAGCACACCTAACAATTAATAAGGATCTATCTTAAAAAAATACTTAAATATTGTATTGATGAATTTTAGCTACAATATATGATTTTTTGATTCCATTTTTTACTTATAGTCTGCGATCACACATTCATAATGTTTGAATGCATTAGTATGAATTATAGTATTTATGTCTCAAGTTTAAACGTAATTTCAATTTGTATGTGGCACCTTATCTTTTAAAAAGCTTTAGTAGTAAATATGTAATTTCAGGTGATTTATATATTACGATTTCAATACTGATAATTAACAGTAATTTATAGAAGCATACATTTCAGGTGCTCTCTTGTTCGGATGTACGTCAAGCAATAATATCAGAAAAACATTAATTAAAAGTTGGGAAATAGATTATTATACGGACACAAAATTCAACTTATTTTCATCATTATCAAGAACCTACAAGGTGAAATGCCAACAAATAAGAGTTATAACCACTCTTACCGATTGTATAAAGTAGAGACCCACAAGTTTAAAAGTTTTGTTGTGTTTGGAGAAAAATACTGTTTAAAAACATTTTTCTGTATAATAAGGCAAATAATTATATTAGCACATTCCAAAACAAGTAAGAGAAGTGGGTTTAGAGTGCAATTCAGTAAATGCCCTATAAGATCCTATGCCCTATAAGACATAATAGAATAGTTCGTCGTGGAGCATTATTTCTTTATTTGATAGCATTGTAGTATATGAATTTTTGATTAAACTCGGTCAACTTTCAAAATCACTACTCCATAGATATTATAGTTTTTTGTAGTTTTTGGACCTAGTGGTTCAGTTCCTCATTCTTAGTTAACTTTAAAATTAATTTTAGATTCAATTCACAAATATATAATGCATAAGTAAAAAAATTTTTAGTACATAAAGTATAATTAATTTATTTTCATCTACAATTATTATATATTAGCTTTCCCACGGGGCAACAAATGACGACATTGAAGCTAAGAAATTCATTAAAGAGGCCAGTGATAAATACTATGAATTATATAACAAACTTGCTGATGAGATTTTTATATCTATGGATGCTGACGATGATTTTGAGCAGTTGCTATCCAAATTTGAAAATGTTAAGAACATTGCTGGTGGTCTCGTGAAATTGCGGCAGATGCAAAAAATTTTGATTTAAGTAAAATTAAAAATGAAGAAACTAAAAAAGCAATACAAACTTTGAAAATGTCGGGCGATATTGTTGTGTTTGGAGACGATTTCGGAGATGTTTTGTCAGTGTGGTGTCTTTAAACGAATTAGCATCTGACAAAGATATTGATCCATATCTGGATGGTGTAAATAGGCCTAATAATGAATCGTTAGCATATATACCAGATATTCAAGAAGTATTTCAGAAAAGTACCGACCCCGAGGAACTTAAATATTATTGGACAGCTTGGCGTAACATGAACTACGTTTGGTCTTCAGCACATTTTTTTGAAATAGTTGAAGTCATAAAGAAAGCAGCTAAAGCGTTCGGTATTACTTAAAAAAAAACAAATGTAATAATAATAGATAACAATAATATTTGATATATTTAATTTATTAGATTTTCCAATACATGCATTTTGGTATCGTTCATATAACACTGGAGAGATGCTTAAAGAAATGGATGCTGTTATGAAAGATATAAAGGAACCATATCAGCAATTGCATGCTTTTGTTCGTAACGAACTAAAGAAGAAATATGGTGGTGATGTTATTGATGGAAATGCACCTATTCCGGTACATATATTCTTACAAGTATTAGAACAACCATGGTACGAGGGAAGTGTTATCGAAAGTTATTTTCCATTTAAAGAACTTCCACCATATAACAAATTGGTTGAGAAATTCGATGCTAAACAGATTATAGAAGAAGCAGAACGTTTTTATCAATCATTAGGTTTTGATCCACTTGATGAAGAATTTAAGCGAGATCGTTTGAAGATAAATGATGAATCTGATAATGTGCAAAATTGTAGAGCCTCCATCTTCGATGATACACCGAAAGTTTATATGAAATACTGTAATTCTGTAGATTTCAAAAAATTTATGCAGAATCATGGGTACATGGGTCGACTTCATTATGCCACAGAAAAAAAAAATTTACCATCTTATTATTTCAATTCTTATGACTTGGAATATTCCGTGGGCGAGGCTGTTATATTATCAGCAAGCACACCAAAACATTTGACTGCAATAGGCTTGGCTAAAGACTTTGAATTTTCTAATCACACTTTATTTAACCGCTTATTCCGTATGGTAAGATTTGACTTTGTTTTATTCTTAATGGATAATGTTAAAACCTTCATATTTAATTAATTGTAGGGTATCCATACATTATTTAACATACCAATCTACTACGTTCATACAAGAGTTATGCATGATTTGTTGGATGGCACAATTGAAGATAAAGAAGTTAATAAACATTATTGGGAATTAATGGAGGAATACGTTGGTGTTGAACCACCAATAGACCGTGATGAAGAAGACATTGATTTTACATATAAATTTTTCTTAGACATTGAAAACAATATGCAAACCAAGTAAGTATACTTCCTAGCTTAAGGAAAATTTTTGCATACTTAAACAGAAAGTAAACAGAAATAAACTTTTTGCCATAAAAGGGTATATCGCTTATTAAAAAAAAATTGAAAAAGAGTATATTAGGTTTGTCAAGTTTTTTATAATGCATTTGGTGAAACGTCACATATCTCATTAGATATATATATTTCAGATTAGCTTCATTAGTTGAGGTCATTTACCCCTGTCCGACTGTTTGTTTGTTCATTGTTCTGTTTCAGTTCAAAATAGATTTTTAATTTTTTAGCTGGTCGAACAAGGCTCTTCACACATACTCTTCAGGAGTAGATCATGAACATTGGCCGGATGTGTCGAAATTGGACCACATGAAATTGAACTATTATAAACCAAAGTTTTAAATATTAGGTTTCTCATTATGAAAAGTCATTCAAGTTAAAATTGGTGCAGAAGGTATTCAAATTTATGTTAGAAAATTTACAAGGTTTTATTCTTATTGGTTTAAAATTACACATGACGAAGCCAAAGCCAACATCTTTACTTATATTGTTCTAGATTCATCTTATAATTATTATCTTCGTTTAATTCAAGACTTATGCTATGTAATGCCATCTCTATGATACATATTGTAGTAAAAACATTTTTAGTTAAAATTTTCTGAAAACTCTCAATAGTCTCTATTCTTCTCTCTATGTTCTTTATGCAGTTAGTTCCTGCCTGAGTGAATAAGAATTATAGAGTAATGTTTTGAAGGATGGTTGGTTTGTATGTAAATTTACGAGGGCGAAACTACGTCATTCAGTTGGTATTGGATAGCCGTTCAAAGCAGGCAACCTCGTGAATTTTTACGAAAATGGAAAAAAGTGAATTTCGTGTTCTGATTAAGCATTATTTTTTACGTAAAAAACTCTTAACTGAAACTAAGGAAAGATTTGATAAATACTACAGGGACTCGGCACCATCAATTTTAATGGTTAAGAAGTGGTTTACAGAGATCCGTTGTGGTTGTACCAGCACTACTGACGCCGAACGTTCAGGTCGCTCAAAAGAAGTGATCACGCCGGAAATTGTCGATAAAATCTATGAAATGACATTGGATAATCGGAGACTGAAAGTGCGTGAGTTGGCTCATGCTGTAGGTATCTCAACTGAACGGGTACATTATATTTTACAAGAATATTTGAACATGATGGGTGCCGCGATTGCTCACACTCGACCATAAGCGCAACCGTGTGACCACTTCAAAAGAGTGTTTAGCGATGTTCAGCCGTAATCTGAACGAATTTTTGCGCTGTTTTGTTACTGTGGACGAAACATGGATTCATCACAACACGCCAGAGACCAAGGAACAATTAAAACAGTGAGTTGCTAGGGGTGAACGTGGACCAAAGTAGGCCAAACAGAGTTTGTCAGCCAACAAGGTCATGGCCACAGTTTTTTGGGATGCAAGCGGTGTCATTCACATCGATTACCTCGAGAAAGGTAAACCAGCGAATATTATTTAAAGCTTTTGAACAGATTCGTCGTTGATTTAAAGCAAAAACGGCCGCATTTGGCGAAGAAGAAAGTGCTGCTCCATCAAGACAATGCACGTGTGCACACTTGTCTAGTCACGATGGCCAAAATCCACGAATTTGGATACTGCTACCCCATCCAGCATATTCTCCAGATTTAGCCCCCTGCGACTATTTCCAAACCTAAAGAAATGGCTGGACGGTAAGAG